TGCCGGCCGGCCTCAGCTAGTGCTAGCCTGACCTGCTAAACCTTTCTGTACTGCTCCCTGAGGACAAACCCTTCAGACCCGGGGAAGGCCGTGTGAACGAGGCTCTACTTCTTGCAAGTCCAAGGTGGTCTGTGCAGAGCCAGTTCAGACATCTTCACTGCACCAGAGACATCCTTCACAGAGGTACCTGAGAAACTTGTTTTGCCCCCATCACCCTGCTAACCATGTGCCACAATCACTTCACAGTTGCCATCATTACCCAAGGTGCATGGATATTACAAAGCTTAATCCTGATTCTATAGAAAGACTTGCACAGAAGAGGAAATCTCTTCCATATTCTAAGCTAGTGGCCAGGTCACGGGATACTTCTCTCTACTCCCTCCTTCCCTCTACTCTCATACATCTCAGCAACTTACATCCAGGAATGTGAATTTCTCTTCAGGAAAATACCCCAAATCTTCCTTTTTCATATCTTGATTTCATTCTTTGAGGAAGAAATGTTCTCAGATTTGAATAGGATTATCCTAATAAGATTGTAAGATAGGCTATAGCCTATAACTGGTATATTGCCTTCTGCAGAGAAAGTACTGAGCATGATTCATAGATATGAAATGTAAACTGTATTAGTAATTGTAAATCAAAACACCAAAATGGGTAGTGGCCTGTCTCATACTTGCAGGGGTGCATTCAAAATGCTTGGAGTTCCCTGGCACACATTTAAAATGTGTACTCTATATTTCTCTGGTGCACATCCTGCATAGCTGGGCAGTCACAAATGCTTGCTGAGCCCTTCAGATTTTATGTTTGGACTGTTTCTTTACAAAAATCAGACATGGCTATCCCTAACTGTAGAGCCCTCTGTGCTGAGTTTAAGGGACTATGAATGCCATAGTAAATCTCAGATTTCTTAAAAAAAGAGATTAAATGTCTTTTGTGTATATAGCTCTATGATAATCTTGGGGAATGTTTTTTTTGTAGCAATCATGATTTATTTTTAGCTCTCCCACAACCAGTAAGTCTCAGCCTTTGGGACAGTGAAAACACAAGATCTCTTGAAGCAGTGGGAGAATCTGAGGGAATAAACATGGCTTTGGAGCGTGCATCACCCCAGCTGCCATCAGGGGCCTTGAGGACTGCTCCAGCAAAGTACAGGCAGGACTGGGAGCAAACGCAAGTCTGCCATGGTGATGTTTGTCGCTTTTCATGGTGTGTCTCAGTGAGTTTCATGCACCGTAACATGCCTTTTGGCACTGTAACTGTTAGGAGTTAAATATTGACACGGAAAAAAAAAAAAGTTGTTCATTATTCACTGCATTTTACCTCAGGAGTTATTGACTTGTTTTAAAGCCAGCCTGTCACCCAAATGGAGGCAGGAGCAATGCCCCCACACTGCGTGACTGCATCGACGGGCAGTCGCACTGAGCAATCTGTGACCGATCTGGGGACTGCAGCTCCTGACTGCAGGCTGTTCGGAGCAAGTGCTTATGGACAGCAAGCGTGTGGAGAAGAAGGCACAGCAACCTGCAATTGATTCACGGGCAAAACGGGCATGGTAATTGGGTCCCATAATGTAGCTGCCATTGATCATTTAGCCAGCAGAGCACTCTTCATAAATTGGAATAGAAAAGTTATTGAGCAGGCTTCAAATTGCAGTAACTAGAGAAATGGTCATCCTGTGCTGATCTGTGATACAGAACTAAAGTTTAGTTTACAAGAAATGGAATCACACAGATGGAACAAGAGATACCATGGGCTTTGCTAGGTGTAGAGGGAGAGCTTTCTGGCTTTCAACCATGACTTATAAGGTCATGCCTTGTTGGCTTCTTTGACAGGGTAAGCTCAGGGCCAGTATGAGGTATTAGATAACCTCTATAAAGAGAAATGGAAATCAGAAATAGCAAGAAGGTGGCCTCCTTTCTCCCTGTTTGAATACCAGCATTACCAACACCAAACAGCCAGAAGTTTACTAGGCCTCTTTGAAGTCAAGTAAGTAGGTCAGATATTTGCCAGAATCTGCTTACTCTCCAATCACGTGAGACAACATCCTGACGGCTGCGTGATGAGAGAAGGGCAGCAGTGAGATATGCCAGTGGGCAGCCCAAGTGTGTACAGGCAAGGCAGATGACTCCATTTTCCAACCTCCATCCCAGGTCTTGGGGATTTTATGCAGCTTAATTGTCCTGTATTAGTTTCCTCACAGGAGGAACTGGGGTGGCAGCCCCACATGTCCATGGGCAGCTGCATGGGGCTGTGAGGAGAAGGCAACAACCATTTAGTGACAGCTGTTGGGGAGAGGGAGGTTTGCTGGTTTGTGTTGAAGAAAGGCCATTAGAAAGGGTGAGAGGGGCCTTGCAGTGCTGAGAGCTGCAGTATGGACCAGCCATTAGGGAGCAGAAGCTCTAGATTAAATTGCCATAGTAAGTGCTAAAGGCAACACCTTTCTTTGTGGCAAAAATAGCCTCAAAATCACAGCTGTCAGGCAAAAGCAGCTATACCAGAAGGATAAGTGATGCAGTTTGGATAAGAGTAAGGAGTGTGAACATTTTCACACCTTTCAAAACTCAGCACTTGAGGGCAGGGTGAAATGTTTGCAAGCAGTTATTAAGGCAAGAACATTTTGCTGTGTGGTATCTGGGGCCCTGGGGAGAAGCAGGGCAAAGGAGCTGTTCCTTGGAATAGCAATGGTGCAGCATGGCTGCAGCTCTGGAAAACAGTCATAGGCATACAATTTTATTCCCAGCTGTCCTCTGGGGAACACAGATGGATTCTGGAAAGAAACTGATTCCGTTCAGCAAATGCCCACTCCTAGTCTGGCCATATACAGTTTGTCTGCTTTTCTATAGCACCAGAAAGCTTCATTTTCCCTGCAGTTTCAGGAGTTCTCAGCCTAGTGGAAACCTGTCCTGCAAGGCCTGAAGTTTGGCCTCCGCTCACCAAGAGCAGGATTTGAAATACATGCTAATAGGCAAAACGCCTCATTAGTAGATTAGAGTTAGTGTTTATTACAGAGATAAGCTGTTTCTCTTTTTTTCCCTTTTTTTTTCCTCTTATTTTTCCCCACAGTATTTTGACACTATTTGCCTCTCATGAAAATAATGAATTATCTCTAATGAGCAGATTTGGTGCTATGAAGAGTGCTGCTCACCCACATTTTTTCATATTCTTTTGTCACTTTGAGTACAGTGTAGTTCTATTTTGGTAATGTATTGTGTTTGCTAGTGTGTGTATATTTATAGAAGGCTGTCCCTACATGAGCAGAAATGAGGCTGCTGAAGTGCTGCTCTCTTTTGTCAGTCATTAAGTCAGGATTTATATGTCTAAAGGGCTTGTAGCTTTTTGGCAAAATGTTATTGACTTTGGTGAAGTCTACTGGCACTGAGGTGGAACGTAAAAGATGTACCTTCCTCTCTCTCTGTATTCAGCTTAAATACAGCAGTGAGAATTCACCCCTTCTTTGTTAAATACATCAGACGTTAGAGCCAACTGTTTTCTTGAAGTTTCCCAGGAATTTAGATCATATCCAGCTTCTCTTCTCCAAAGCTCATTCTCCTTTAGCTTATTCAGGAGATAGTTTGGGTACTTCATGCTCATGAGTCTGTCGTGAAATGAGGAAACTCCCCATAAACATTGTCACATAACTCTGAACATATATTTCAATGTGAATTATCTCTATCTACAGAATCTAATTTAAACATCAACTTGTATATTGAAAAACATCTAATGCTAATACATCCATGGTATAAACACATGCAGCTCACTGCTGGCTACCAATTGAAACTAAACATGCAGGTTATGAGCTACATGTTGCTGACAGATTCCCTAGAACTTGTCCTTTGGGGTATTTGTATGAGTGCTTTTATGATGGTGGGGTTCGCTGGGGTTGGGGCTCTCTTCTCATTAACAGGTGTGTTATTGCATGTATCTGTTATTTGCTACCTGTGTGAATATCTGTCCACCTGAGTATCTGTGTTCCAGCACCTTAATGTAGAAAATGTGGGAATAACACAAGAATATAGATTATTTTCGATTTTTTTTATGTAAGGGGAACAACTGAAAGCACAGTGTTTGTGTAACTGGAATGGCTTGCTCACAAGCTTTGTGTATACCTAAAAACTGTCGACTAATGAGGTGAATCCTCATTTGGCAGCAGGAACAGCTGAGTGAGCTTGCCCAGGTGGGTCATACCGTTTGCACCCTTCTGCCCAAGGTGGCGGTGGTCCTACACAGCTCACTTTTTGCATGAGAAGAGCTGAGTGTCCAAGATAAGTCCCAAACAAGAAAATATTCACCTTTCTGCCTCAGAGCGTACTCTTACTATCTGCTTGGGAGATTTCACAAACATGCATATTTTTTACATGAAGCTATAAAAGTCCGATGGCCTGGGATATCCCAATATTCAGAAAGGGAGAAAAAATAAAGAAAAGCTTCCATCTTTTCAGCTCCAACCCTGCCTTTCTCTGCCAGGAAAAACACTTGGTGCCATGGCTGGAGCCCACCCTCGTTGGTGCAAGGTCTGAGCATTACAGTGCTTTTCACAAAACCAGAGCTGGCCTAGGCTGTGGAGTGATGAATGAGACCTGTTTGTCTGGGTCCTTTGGCCAGGAGTCCCAAGCAGCAGTTTCTGATCTGTTTTTGTTTCATCTTCCCTTGTGGTTCCCCTCCTTTTGCCCCCTGGAGCTGGCGGCCAGGCGCCTCTCAGCCTCCCTGCCACCTCTCTGGCATTGCTCACAGCCCCTGACCCTGGGATTTAGTGAACACGGCACCTGGGAAAGATACAGCAAACAGAAAAGGCATAAATGAATAAATAGAAAGTTTAAAAGGATGTTTGCATCCATGACAAAAGAGAAGCTAGGTGCTTCCCACCTGGCACAGCCATTTCCTTCTTCTCAATACTGCTAAAGGGCTTAATCTGGACATTCAACCGCTCTCCATGACAGGTTGTTTCATCTCCCTTTTTTTTTTTTTTCCCTTTCCTTCCTTTCCCGGTGCTTTCGGTGCAGCCGGCCACAGAGGCAGCGGCGGGAGACCCACAGCGAGTCGCACAAGCAAGGCAGGTAGGCGAAGCGCCGAGTGGCGGCACCGCTCCCGCGCACCCTGAATGCGCCTTCCCTCAAAAACTTGGCACTGGAGGGGACAGAAGGCAGTAAGAAGGGAGTTTGGGCCTTGGGTGAGGGAAAAGCCACCCACTTGTGGCTGGTGGTGACACACGTCAGGCCATTGCCGCGCATCAGGCCCCCAGTTGGGTGCCGTGACCATGTTTGGTGGCTCCCTCCAAGGCGGTCGCACAGGACGGGTGGGATTGTGTCAAGTGGAGGCCAGGATGGGATCTAGGTCACATCTAACCCTCTCTGCAAGCGGCAGTTCTTAGGGGGCTGAAGAGCTGATGTGGTGGCGCCAGGAAAGCCCCCATGACAGCCTGCCCTGCCCTCCCTTCCCAATGGCCACCACAACACGGTGGAGCCTCCTCCTCGCCCAGCGTGTCGGACCTCAGGCCCTCTGGCAGGATCCCCCTGCAGCTCCTAGTGGGATGCTTCCTTTTTCCCTTTCCCATCCAAAATGCAGAACTGAGAGAAGCTGTAGATCACATAACTTCACCCACAAATAGGTTTTGTCCCCCTGCAAAGAAAAGCAAACAAAAAAAAACCCTCTCCTTATTTCCAAACTACCTTATCTGTTTTATGAAAAATCTGTGTGTTTCACGTGAAAGATATTTTTACTTTTCAGGACCCAGTAAAGACTTTAAAAGCAAAATGAAGAAAAAAAGTTCTGATTTATTTGAAATGAAGGGGAAAAATGTATAGTTTTAATCTTCCAAAATCAAAACACTTTAAACATTTTTCTTTGGCAGGCCATAACTGTTTTCACTGTTTTTTTTTTTTGATTGATTGAACTTCTATCCATTCCCTCAACTTCAAAATGCAAAAATTTTAAAGAAAGTCAGTTTAAAAAGTAACCAATTCTTTTTTTTAAAAAAAGTAAAAGCTCTATTTTAACATCTTTTCTTTTAAACAATAAATTTAAAAATAGAGCTTTTACTTTTTCTTTTAAACAAAAAAGTATTCATTCTCCCATTTTTACCAGAAATAAATAAATAAAATCACTACTCAAGATAAAAATGCTTTTCTTCTATCTTTATATTTTAGATATGATTTTTATATATAATACATATTCTTCATTTTTTTTAATTAGCCACAGTAATAAGGATATTTCAAAGCAAGCAAAAATTAAGGCAAGTAAAAATGGTCCCCGTTGTCACAGACACTGCTGGAAACCAAGTAGCTGCTTCCCTGACAGGAAAAATAAGTAAAAATCAGCACAACCACAAAATATTTGAATAATGATTGGGAGAGCAAATGCCCTCTCCTCATTTGCCCTGAACAATGTCCTTTCTACAATTATAAGACAGGACTTATAAAAAAAATACAGCAGCATTGTAGTTCCAGACTGTTCCCTCCATTTCCCTGTATAGCTTCAATTAAACTCCTTGGTAAGAAGGTTGCAAAAGTGATAGACAAAGATCAGAGTGTTGATACTGCAGATATTAAAAACTTGCTTGAACGCAGTCCTGTGCCACGTGCTCTAGGTGACCCTGCGTGTGCAGGGGGTTTGGACTAGATGGTCTCTAAAGGTCCCTTCCAACCTTAACGATTCTATGATTCTACGATACAACACAGTTAGATGTCCATGAAGTATTTGATTCAAACTTAGGAGACCTGCAAAAGAAGTACTAGAAAATATTACATAAATAGGTAATGTATCCATAGTAAATAAATGGAAAAGCAGTGAACTGGCATCTCAGAAGAGCATTCTGGATGTAATGTTGGTTACAACAAGAATTTGAAGAAATCTATGATCTGCCTGGGGCTATTCAGCATCTTTAGTAACGAGCTGAAAAACACGAAACGATTGCTAGTAAAGTTTAATAAGCAACCTAAAACTTAATGGAGAGGCAAATAATTGTGGTATTTTGTCAATCCTACCAAGAATTTTAGATTCCAAATTGCTTGAACAGTGTGCATTTTGATGGCTAAGTGCAGGGGCTCTCGAAGGGTGAGACCACACTTTAGAAGGGAATTAACCCATGAAATTCATCATGTCTGAGTAGAAGCAAAAGCAGTGAGTAAGGAGGTGTGTATATCACTGTTACGTTATTTGAGAAACTATGTCCCATCTCTAAAATCATAGAAGGAAAGGGACCCCTGGGGTCACCAGATTTCATCCCAAGTAACCACCTGGACCATTCTCCTTCCATAAACACAAGGAATATCCTCTCTAAACCTTTGTTTAAAGAAGGCGGAACCTCACAGCTCCATTGAGATAGAAACATTTTAATTTTGATCTAGCGTTATTCATTCTTGTTTTGTACAGATTAGTTTGTTCTTGTGTTAATATTGTCCCAACTCAGGCTCTACATTGCCCTGCTCATCCTTCCCTCTACCTGTTTCAGAGAAAGCTTTCATTGATGATCGAATCTACACAAAAATCTCGAAGATTAAGTCAATGACCTGCTAGAAACACTCCCCAGTCTCAGCTGAATATAAACCTTACAAAATGCACGCTACACCCACATAAATTTCTCCACAGCTCAGTAGGTCTCTTTCTGATATATCACTGCCCCCCTTTCTTCTCTGTCATTTCTAGACAACTGTGACTCATAGCCAAATATTTTGTTAGTCCACACCAGGGGCATGGAAGTGCATTTTTGAGTTACTTGGCTGCACCCCATGCCTGCTACTTTACTCCTCAAGTTTGCCTGCTTCTTTCTGGAAAGAAAAGAGGAAAAGACTCTGATTAGAGCTGTGAGAGTGGTTCAGCTTCTGGGACACATACTTTTCATTGAGACAGGAGAGAAATGCAGTGATTTTCTGACATCAAAGAGAGATTTTAGAAATTGATTTGCTTTGGCTTGTAGACATTTGGTTTGTGAGGTTGCTTCTACATAACAAAACAGGGGCAAGATGCTGTGGACAGAAGTTGAATTAAATAATTCTGAAGTAGAAGTAGGGTGCACCTTTTAAAATTCAGTATGGACAATTAATTACTTGAAGAACTCACTGATGGATATAGTGATCTCTTCACCTTTAGAAATCATTAAAATCAGACTGATTCGAAGATGCTCTGTAGCATGAGACAGGGCATCAAAATAGATTATTGCACTGAATTCTTGTGGTATGACTGTCTAGCTTAGGAGAAATACAGCATGGTTAGGCAATCTCATTTGTGAAAAGTTTTATCTCAAGAAAATGAGACTCCTGTCAAGTCTCTTTATCGCTCTGGTTTTGTTTGATCAATTTCTGACTCAGAAGCAGCAAAATATTTCCTACCTTTTTCTTGAGCTCTCATGCTGTCTTATCATCTGCAGTGTGGCTAGCTCAGAGTGCAACAAAGGTTTAATTACATTATAGAGCTATAAAAGCTGCTGCAATTACAATCAAGGTGTCAGTGGAGCTGAACATCATTTTCACTTTTAGAGGTAGATTCAGAGGATGAGCAGATCATCTGCTGTCCAACATTTGATGTGACTCTGTTAGCATCTGGAAAGACCCTTTCCAAACTGTACAGTCTTTAATGCTCCTTTTTATTCTCACTAGAAATCTGGGGCAGGAGCTAATCATTTTATCCCAAGCTATGAGGACGGGGGGCTTGCCTCCTGGCGTGGTTCCCAGCCTATCTCCATTTTGTTCCTGGGTTACAGCCAGCAGCTTATTTGATATATTGTTTCCTTAATTCCTGTCTTCATGCCTTGTCGCAAATCACTGTCAGAAATGCTTCCCCGTTGCCATTTCCCCACTTACCCATGCACACTGTTTTCTAGGCTGCGTGTTGACTAATTGTATCCAAACACTATTGGTGGCGCAGATTATTTTACAGAGGCAAAAGCCACAGAACACATCTTACCCGCGTGCATGCTTTATCATAGCCGTAAGCACTGGATACTGAATACAGGAATTATTTTTTGGTGACATGCTATCAACTACTACCACTCCAAGCAATCACAACAGTCATGGTTTAAGAGGCAAATGAGCAAGAATGAGCTCTAGTTTTAGGACTGCAGGGAAACAGGATGCTTCTTACACGGGCTGATCAGGAAGGACTCATAACTGTGCTTCTCTTTTCCCGGTAGCCCAATTCTAAAACGAAGCCCTGACATCACCAAATCTCCAGTGACAAAGTCAGAGCAGCTGCTGCGAATAGATGACCATGACTTCAGCATGAGACCGGGTTTTGGAGGTAGGAATCATGCCCATTTGTCCATGGTATTCTTCACCATAATGATAACATAAAGTTATATGCAATAAGCAGATCAGCAAAGCAGAGCCTTTTCTGTCTGTAATATCCGTTATTTTGTGTTGTGGATTCATGACACATTTTGAGAGGATAGGGTTGCAATGAAATAGCCTTCTTCCTGGGCTGAACAAAGACCTGCAAATGTGAATAGAGGCAATGTAATATTCCTGGTATTCAACAGCACTTTCTTCTGATAAACTCAACAAAAGCAGCTCACGTTTATTCCTAGGAGTCCTAGGAATTCTAGGACTTTGTCTTACTATAACAGCAAGTGTGACTAGTCAAATCATGTACCATATTTACAGACCTGGCTACTTCACTTATAATGAAAAAGAAAATGAGTTGACTGTTATGTGTTAATACTTTACTCACAGTTTTGTGCCTGGGTGCTACAACAAGCTAAGCTTTTAGAGAAATGGATTAAGGAGAACATGCTTTCTTCAACCTACCGGATTAAAGAATGTTGTAATTTATCTACCCTTTCTGGCTGACAGATGGTCATTCAAATCCAGGATACTACTATATTCTCTGATAGAAGAAGATTTTATTGCTAAATGGTCAATATACAAAATACCAGTGTGTTCAATTAATTTAAAATGGTTTCAGTTTCATAGCAGTTTCATAGCAGTCCACTAATGTGAGCATTATTTGCCTTGACAGATCTGTAGTGTAATAGCCAGCAGTATGCAGGAGCTAGTCAAAATCTGGAGGACGGAATAAAAACCAAAATCTCTGTTTTGTCCCATCATAGTCCAATCCTTCCTCTCACAGGAGACCCAGACCCACTGGCACATTCCTTTGTCAAGTAACATAATGTCTCCTTCACAGGCAGTCCTCACACCTTGCCATCCACAGCCAAACACTGAATGATGTAAAAGCAAAATACTTGGAGTAGCTCTCAGGGATCCTATTAGTCTGAGAGAAGAGCGGAGGAAGTGATGGGAAAAATATAAATAATTCTCCCACATACTCTTAACTGAACCTCGACAGCTCTCTGAGTGAGTGGGATGTGCTGGAGGGCTGTCAGTCCTTGACTTAAGCACTTGTTTTTGAATTTGAGACATTATTTTTGAATTTTGAAGGGATAGGTGTAGAAAGAAGGTCCCATCCTATACCGAGAATCAGGTAATTAAACCCAAGTGCTGCAGCTCCACCACTGCATGGTTTTCTGCATTTTGAATTCATTACAAGGCATGTTATAGCCTAAGAAATATGTGTATTGATTGTTAGAAAATGTAGTAGTAAAAAGGAATAGAGTGGAGAGGAAGTCAGTTATGCATTCCAGTCACTTACACCATGAGTTAGTTTACTATTGTTTTTTTTTCTAGACTGAACACCAATTTTTATCTTTAAGATTTGAAAACAGGTGGTTACTTTGTCTCACCAAGTTTATACTTTCTCATATTTTTTCCCTAGGCCCTGCAATTCCTGTTGGGGTAGATGTCCAAGTTGAAAGTCTGGATAGTATTTCTGAAGTGGATATGGCAAGTATCACAGCATTGCTGAGGTGGGAAGGCACCTCTGGAGCTCCTCTAGTCCAACTGCCCTACTCAAGTAGGGCCAGCAAGTTGTCTAGCACCATGTCCAGGAGGGTTTTGAGCATCTCCAGGGGTAGAGACTCTATAACATCTCTGAGCAACCTATTTGACCAGAATTTGACAACAAAACTGCCATTTTATCTCTCTAAATGTCTCAAAACAAAAGGAAATAAAGTTAATCTGATCTTTTATTTTGTCTAGGGCAAAATGATATAATACTGCCAAAACTGCCCCAAAAGATTCATATTTTGTTAAGAAGTGGTAAGATTTGAAAGCTCTGAGGAGATGTGTCAGTTTCATTACACTTTGTGTGACACATTGCAGGCACAATCTAGTTCCATCTATGTACTGAGCTGGCCAGGGGCAAGCTAGCTCCAAACCAGAAGCCATGTAGCTGCCACTGGAGCAACACTGGTTTGTAAGTACTGCTCTCTGCAAGGCAGCCAGTGTAAGCAACAGCCTGTACACGACAGTGACAACATCCCTGACATGAGAGGGGTCTGCTGTGAGATCAGAAAACCCTGACATTTAAATATCATCTCTCTGTATGGTCCAATTACCCATTCTATCAGGAAGTACACAGTCACAAGAGGCTGCAAGTTTTCAAAGGGCAGAAGTGTCTGTAGATTTGACCTTCAGTTCATTAGCTGCTGCATCGCCCCTATTGCATACCCTGTAGCACCTTCCTTAAGCTTTGCACTGATGGTAAAGAAGGATTTCAGGGGCACACAGGACTGATGGTGGCGTTCTGCACAGGCTAAATTCATTACTTGAGGCGTCCTTCTTCTTCATTTCCTATTCACCGTGTAATTAATATTGTGAAAACTGCCGATTTTCAAATACTCTGAAAGTGATAGGGATTTTGGCCACAGCATGATTTTTGCTTGAAAAACCTTCTTCATCACAAAAGAGCACTGAAAGTAGGGTATGATTTCTGGGAGAGATTTTTCTTGGAAATTTTTTACATACATGCATGACATAACCAGCCATGCAGGAGAGAGGGAGCACAGAAAGAGAGTGAAAGATGAAAACTCATTGCCCAACAAAAAACACTTTTCAAATATTTTCACTATTCCAACAAATGTATTAATAGCTCCGATGATTTCACAGGAAGCCCAGACTTCTCTGCAGTCTTAATTGACAACTGCTATAGGGCTAGAAAGCTCTCATCTGACCTCTTCTCACGTCTAAACCGGGAGCACGGTTTTGTGACAGTGTCATTTCACTGCATCCAGGTTGTTGCCCACCGGGTGTAGTGTCCCTGTTCTGCAGCCTGTGGCCATCCAGGCTCCTTTCACCTCAGCAGCAGAGTCCCACTGACGTGTGTGGTTCCAGCACTGGTCCCCAGCCAGCGATTCCTGAGCAAGCTGATGTAAGGGCGCAGTGTGTGGGATGAGTGGGGTCAGCGAGGTGAGAGAGAGCCTTTGTCTCTCCCTTCCTCCAACAAAAAATAGAGAATCATCCAACCATTTGATGGGGATCTTTCACCCACCAAGGTCTCTGATCCCTTGTGGGAGGCTTCTGAGTATATTGGGTTATTTCCAATTGACTTACCATGTGGCTGAACTAAACACTCCTGTTCTACCCAGCCTAAAGAGCTTTCTGCTGACCTCTGTGATTCCAAATTTGTGAGCCAAGCTCTGCTGAAGGTCAGCAAATGTTTATCCTTGTCCCATATGGCATAGAAGAAACTGAGTACCCATTATCAGCAGCTCCTTCCCAGATAAGGCAGTAACGGAGAGGAGGTAGCTCTGTGTTGGTGTGTGTGCCCATGTGTTTTGTGACCATCCTACCCACCAATGTGCTGAGCCAAGCAGTACAACTTGCAGCACTGACAACAGTGTAGATTCACCCATCTTTTGGCCTGCCATGGACAAGAAATCCTTGCACAAACAAGGTACCATATTGCATCGTGTCTATCCATCATCAAACATTCCTTGTGCTGGGGATTGTCACTGTGGCCCTGTCCCTCCACCACGTAATATTAGTGTTCGCACGGGTACGGTACTTGCAGTCACCTTGGACTTCAACCACTCACAAGCTGCAATGGGGTTACAAATCTGAGGCACATCAGGATGCATCTGGAGGCTAAGCAGGGTCTGTCTCTGTGCTGTGCTGTTGGGGAAATGTTTCCCCAACACATTTCAAGGCCACCAACACCTCCCATGTTTCTAAGTGCTCTTTCCGCCCTAACCTCGAGCCATGGGGACTCTCAGCTTTTGCCTCTTCCAGTGTGTTCTCAGCCATGGTGGTTGAGGAGGAAGTTCGTGAAGGTGGCCAGAGAGCCCCAGAAGGTTTGAACACCCTAAAGCAAAGGGAAAGAACTCAGCATTCATGATTTCAGAGCTAAAAGCAAAAGAATCTCAATCTTTAAGCAAGCATTATGGTTGTGGGGGATTTCCCCTGGTTTTTGAATGCTGCCAGTGCTCCTCACAGTGTCCTCCAATGCCTTCCTGGGGCTCCAAAGAGGAAGAGCATTTTGCATCGATGCCAACTGGGCTGCTGTTTCATGGCCAGACAGTGCCACCGAGGCAGCCTTCGCTGCTGGAACATCTTCTCCCTGGTGCTGCTGGAGATACATCACGCCACAACACTCAGCCACACGGGAAAAGTGCTTTATAGCCTCGGGAAAAAACACATTCAAAGTCAATTCTGGCTGTTAGCAAAATAACGATGAGAGAGACTTTAAATGTCAGAATCAATTCTTTTAAACTCATGCAGCTTCATATAAAAAGGCCATAGTGCTTTGCAAGATCATTGCTTGTTTGCTTTCAGAATGAACATAGATCAGAGCTCTTCACTGTGTACTGAATATCAGTTGCTGAATTAATATAACAAATTTTCCTTTTCTTTTGCTTTCTGACTATTTACAAGAAAGTGATAAAGTAATAGAGGACATGTTAAAACTTCTTTAGGATGTCAAAAATCAGCTTTTTGTCTGATTCATTTTAAAACTGATAACAATCTATTGTGGGCAACTGACTCTGAAATTAGTGTGGCTTTTGTGGGCTGTGTAGGGCAGCTGTTTTATCTGGAGGAAAGATAGGAAGATGACCTAAAATCAAATGGTTACCCCAAATTGGAAATTTGCTTGCAAAAAGAACAGGAGGAAATAGTGTCTCTGAAAAATGGACCAAAAGGAAAGGAAGAAAAGGGAGAATTTCAGATGATACATTATAAAATATTGTGGTTTAACTGACTTTCTTGACTCGGGTACCATGGCTCACTGGTCAGTCTTAGGCACTTGCCTCAGCTTATGGGCTGTAAGTTATATGTGTTATATGACGGCTACGTCACACCGTCAGCCCCACGCTGACATGGCACCTATGCATGGGCTTAGTGCTCCACTACGTGTTATAAAATATTGTGGTTTAACTGACTTCCTTGACTCGCGTACCATAACACACTGGTCAGTCTTATGCCCTTACCTCAGCTTATGGGCTGTAAGTTATGTGTGTTATACGTGTTATATGACAGCTATGTCACACGGTCAGTCCCACGCTGACGTGGCACCTATGCCTGGGCTTAGTGCTCCACTAGGTGGGGGGATCCCCTGGAAGGAGGAGGGGGCAGGCGCAAACAGCGGCGCTTCTGCGGTCAGAGCCCGCCAACACGGCGGAGCTGGGAGAGAAGGAGCACACCTCGGAGCCAGGAGCACAGTATGGGGAAGGGAGAGCAACACAACTCCCCAGGCTACAGCTAAACACAGCAAGCCTCTCTAGGTCAAGAGAAAAGGAAAAAATAATAAAAAAGTAGCTTTAACGAATGACAGTGTTCAGGTCTGGTCTCTCTTGTTCTAAGTCAGTTGTACCAACAGAGCTGTGCCAGTCTGTGTCATGGGGAGACCTCCAGACCTGATAACCTCGGATAGGAGGAGAGCAAAATCATGTCCCGGGAAAGCCTGGTAGCTCCAGGTTTCTGTAGGCTTCAACCACTGTGCAAATCTCACCCAGAAAAGCCTCATGCAAGCTTCAGGCCCGCTGCGTGCTTGGCAGTCACTCGGTGCCTTGCTAGCCTCGTGCCTTTGCCATTTCTGTGACAGAGGAAGCGCCAGGGACTTCCCTGGCGGCCTGGGGAGGGCAGCTGCTGGAGGGGGCAGCGCGGCCCCCAGGCGCTTGCTCCCTTACCGTCAGCCCCAGAAAGGCGCCTGCACAGGCCTGGGGCCGAAGCGGTCGGCAGCGCCCGGTACCTACCACTGCTGCGGCATGGCCGCCCTCGGGCCCTTGGGGCTGTCGCGGGCAGGAGCGCCCTGCAGGTGGGCGGGAGAGCATCTCTGAGCTTGCCCATGGCAGCGAGATCTGAGCTGTAACACAAACCTGTTTCCCTCAGGACTTCACCATGACCCTTTACCTGCGGCACTACTGGAAAGACGAGCGGCTTTCCTTCCCCAGCACCAACAACCAGAGCATGACGTTCGACGGCAGGCTCGTGAAGAAGATCTGGGTCCCTGACATGTTCTTCGTGCACTCCAAGCGCTCCTTCATCCACGACACCACCACTGATAACGTCATGCTGCGGGTCCAGCCAGACGGGAAGGTACTTTATAGTCTCAGGTAAAATTGCATTCGGTCAGTGTCAGTTATGAGTGAGATGAGAGAGAAACCCTGGGGTCTTCCTGTGTTTCATTTTTGCACAGTTTCATGCTAAAAAAAAATAAATGAATAAATGGAATGTACTGACTAGCCACTGTGATCAGGAGGAAAAGTCCCCTTGCCTTACCAAATAAAAATGAATATGTGCACAGGGAAGCCACCTGGGTTGGTATTATATAAACAGAGTGAGACTCAGGTCTGAAACTTCATTCCTAGGAAGCACTTGCTTCTCCTTCCTCCAGCCAGGGTCTGTCCCAGCAGCTCGTAAGCCTCAAGAGCAGGATTTCCTACCTGCTTGCCCTGGCGTGACTTCTCCCTCCCCTTTGCAGCCCCGACCTACCACATTCCCATTGCCTGCTGAGCCTCCCAGCCTGGCGTCAGCGGGAAGGAAACCTCCGGGCCCTGCGGCAGTAACCCATGCTAGTTCATGGAGGTCCTTTTGCAGGCAGCAGTTTCCCTGGTTCCTTTGCCTTGTTTGCGGGATTACCCGGCCACAGACTGCAGTTCCTTGAGGGGGCTCACCTTGGAAAAGCCAGGTGTGACCCCTGCAAGGCACTGCAGAAGAGATGGGACACGGTCTAAGGAAAAGGGAAGTGTCTTATAATAAACAGAAGTCCAAACAGTTATATTTATCCACTTTACTTTATAACAGAGCCTCAGGACCTAGCAAAATGTACAATTACTGTTTTTAAAGGTCACCATGAAAACGTATTAATTACACTGAGTACAACTTTACGTTAAGCCAGAAAACAGCCTGAACATCCTTAGTCCCACAGAGTAACAAGCTTCACCATGAGGGCACAGAGCTCCCCATGCCCTGCATGCAGCTGGACGTGACGTGCAGCTAGCTAGACGTAAGAGCTTTTGTGCTTTCTGTGCAATATCTATTTCATGCAAAATGCGTGAATGGTCCTTGAAGGGAGTGTGGGAGCAAGTGACATCTAGTTTCGGGTTTGATGCTCACACTGCCTTGCTTTCTCCCTTATTTTCCGCCCAGTAAAACATCTTTGAAAGGAACGTACTTCTCCATTCAGAACAACCCGGCTGGGGGAGCACTCTCCAGAGAGATGTGGTGTTGCCCCTGCTCTGAGAGGACCTGAGTGTAAATCCACATGTCCCGCAGCAAAAAGCAATTTTCCAATCCCTGAGTAGTTAAGCTGATGGGGTGGGGGCTGACAGAAGCAAGGAGGTGCTTGAGGGAAGGTCCAGGTGCCACAGATGCTCTTGCGCATCCACTGAGACCTTCCCCATCGTGAGCTCCCCTGCGAAACAGCCGGGCTGGGCTCAGCGCCGCACGGGGTGCAGGCTGGGCTGACTGTGCTGCCCTCACGGAGACACCGAGAGGGCTGCGCAGCAGCGGACTCAGGCGCGCGGGCGGCCTGCGCTGCTCGTGGTGTGGGGCAGGAGCAGACTCGGGTGCACGGGCGGCCGGCGCTGCTCATGGTGTCGGAGCAGCTGCACAGGGTGAGGCCGCTGTGGGGACCCTCGTCCAGCAGCGCCGCTGGCCCCTGCCGTGAGCGTCTGAAATCCCACGGGGCCCTGGATGAACTGAACGCCTCCCCTCAATTCCTCAAGCCGCCTGAATCGAGGTTCATGCTCCCAGTGCAATACAAAGCTCTACCTGCTGTTAAAAACGAGACAGACTGGAGGAAGACTAGGGTTAGTTGTTTTCTAGTGCAGAGCATTTCAGTGGTGGGTTAGGACCAACATCAGTCCCAGCTGTAGGTCCTGCCTGTGCCCTCTGGCGGCTGCCAGTGAGGTGGTTGCCAGCCTTCAGTAAGCAGGAGGTGCAGGAGAACTACAAAGGGCAAAAAGGCTTCTCTCTGCCCTTTCCCATTTTCTTTTTTTCATCTAGGAGGAGCCTTCCACCTGGTCATCTATTCTAACTCTGTTTTGCTCAGAAGAAGAGAAGGTTTTAGCTTGACTGGAATGGCTTTAGCTCAATAAAAAGTGCTTTTTTTTTCTTTCTTTCTTTTTTTTTTCTATGGACTGTTACTAGCCAGATAGTTATTTAATAAAAAAGAACAATAACAGCAACAACTTTCAGTCTTACTGCTTTTCAGTCACATCAGATGCCTAGTTTTTAATGCACCATTTTTTATTAAACCTAGAGTTACAGTAACAGCGATGTGCAACATGGATTTCAGCCGCTTTCCCCTGGACACACAAACATGTTCCCTGGAGATTGAGAGCTGTAAGTACAAGGGAGATGTGTGCAAGCCAAAGGGCTCACACTGGCCACCTACACCTGGCTTTAATTACAAAGTAAGCAGCAGCTAAATAAGCTGGAGGTCTAACCCAAGTGAGCAAACTTCAAAAATGAGCGCAAATTCCTGCCCTTAAATATTTTTGCTATAATTCTTTTAGACGGCGTTTGAACAATAAAATATACTTTGAACACCCTCTGCAAATGCTGCCTTGTTAGTGCCCCCCTCCCAGAAAGTCTCCTGGACTGCCCCATGCAGGGTGCTTTGCCTGCCCGTGAGCAGTGCCCAGAAGCATCTGTTTGCCCCACCAACAGCTGTTAAATGTGTAAAACCAAAGGGCTTACTCCCTTCACATGAGGAATACCCCTGCTTGTCCAGGGTGTATAAACCAGGAGGCAGCAGCAACATAATCATCTTGCCCCTTATGTTCCTTACACCTATGTGAGATAAACCAGTTTATATCCCGGTGTAGCTTTGTTGTCCAAAGTATGATTTACATATACATTTCCTAGATTTCTTACAGGTATAGCTTAAACTTTTAACTTTTTAGGGTTTTTTATCTTAAGTTTTCAATAAGTAATTATAGTCTTAATTCCATTTTAGTAAAGTCATATGCAGCTAATAACTGTTATTAAGCATGTCTGAAAGTGTTAATATTACCATATTTTCACATGTATTAAAAATACAATACCTGACAGACAGAAGCTTTAGCTGAGAGTTTGTTCTCCCGGATGCCTCAAACCACGGAGAATCTGTTCCTCCTGCTACCCCAGGCAGCCTCTTTCTCCCTAGTCTCCCTTCCTTTGCTTCTGATTTTAGGTCCTTTGTTTTATATTCTGGTGCTGCAGCCTACCTGATGCACCATTATACATGTGAAAATATGCTTAGAGGGGAAAGAAAAGGGGGGACACCAAACAGATCAGTCATCAAGACTGAGGGCTGTGAGCACCAGCTGGCCCTTCCCTTTCCACAGCCGTGCCCAGCACCTCCGGGGCTGCCACGAGCCGGACACGTCCAGCCTTTTCCCCGGGACCTGGCACCTAGGTTGGAATATGCGCTGCCATGCTCCGAGCTGTAGGCACAATAGCGGCCACTTCAGCGCGTTGCAACGAGGTTTGCTGTGCTCCCCTAGATGCCTACACTGAGGATGACCTCATGCTGTACTGGAAGAACGGGAACGATTCCCTAAAAACAGATGAGAGGATCTCTCTGTCCCAGTTCCTGATCCAGGAGTTCCACACCACCACAAAGCTCGCCTTCTACAGCAGCACAGGTGGGTAACGGGGCTCCTGGCAGAGCATGGGCAGGGGAAGGCGGGAGCGCCCAGCCCTCTTGTCCCTCTTGTCCCGCAGGGAGGCCCCAGCTGTGCCGCTCAGCCCGGTCTTGGCGCTGGCAAAGGCGCCAGCTCTGCCCCGCACAGACCCAGTGTCCTGCTGCGTGCGTGGCTGCCTGCACGGCGCTGGCCCTGTGTGATACAGCTGCATCACCTGCATTTCTGTTCAGAAGGACACTCAGAAACGGGACCCGGATATTCTAAGACCTTTGCACCCTGAGCTCCTCCAAGTACCCTAGGAGCTGACTTGCACAGGGGATTCCCAAAAGTTGAGTAGCACTTGCCTAGAAGGAAAGCTGCTTCAGACTGACTGTTTTCAATTAGTTGGGTATTTCTCTTCTGGAATGGGGAGTGCCTGATTCCAAATGCACTAAACCTCTATGGTTAGAAAATCCAGAAGGGCTTTTCCTCCTCAAGATTACACTAGGCCTCAGTGTGAGTTAAACGCCCTGGGTGCCCAGGTTATGTAATCTGCTCTGGAAGATCTTGTCCTGGGAGACAGTTAGACTACAGCAGTCAGCTCCATAAAGATTCTTTTCTGTAACTGCAGCATCTGGGGTCGCTCCTTGTGTTTTCCACAAACCAAACGTGGCACTATCTCACTGATGCACCCTGCCTGAAAGGAGTTCATCTTTGGTGTGACCTCTCTGCTTTCTTCTTTCTTATACAGGGTGGTACAACCGCCTCTACATAAACTTCACCTTGCGCCGACACATCTTCTTCTTCCTGCTCCAAACCTACTTCCCTGCCACTCTCATGGTTATGCTGTCTTGGGTGTCCTTCTGGATCGACCGCCGAGCGGTACCTGCCCGAGTCCCTTTAGGTAAAAATGATCCTGTAGCAGCAGACTTAAGAGACGGTCCCGTGCAAGGCCCTGCCTATCAAGATAAAATAGGGAGCAAATGACAAGCTCTGCTTTTATTGCTTTTAACACATAGATAGCACATACAGAACTGGAGTCTCAATATCCTTCAGAAGCTTCAGAGAGCAAGAATGTGAAAATCAGTTAGCAACATTAGCAGACCTTCAGTTTATCGAATTTTTCTAAAGGAGGGCAGGTGGGGGTAACGCCATAAGTGGAACATTGTTGTTCAAGTTGTTAAATAAGACTTTACTGCAGCATGAGAGATTTAGCTTCCATTCTGAATCAGCCTTCAGACAGATGAGGCCACGTGGCACGGGATTTGCAATAGGAGTAGAACTGTGCTGTGAATGTCAATCTCCTTTTAAAGTGGATGTTTTGTCCTTAATGAAGCAGCACTTGTGTTTTTACAGCCTTTGGGCCCAAGTTTCCTTTCATTTACTGCACAGAACACATTTCAGGACTTAATTTATTGTTAGAAATATGTTCTTCGGGATTGAACATACATACGGGGTGAGCATTTACCTGTGGGGGATAGCAATGGGGCATGTCCATGTTCAGAAGCAGTATCCAGTGCCTTGAGAAACCACTGGACAGCAGCACAAACGCCTGGGCTGAGGCTCAACAAGAGACGTAGGCACTGCCTTCAGGAGCAGTTAGGCACTTAGATGTTGTTGTGAGTTCAGGCCTTTATGCACATACACCTCATTTCAACTTTTGAGTGGATTATTAATGTGAAATAATTAATCCATGTAATGAGGACCACAGATAGCCTCCCCCAGGGACAGTCAGACACCGAACTATAAAGACTCCTGTCCTTGTTGGTGTGTTTGTTACACTCGCCTATGGGACAAACCAGGACAGGATTTCTCCCTCGGCCCAGCTAGCTCCTCTAACAGGAGAGGCACTTAGGGGTTGTGTCCTTAGGGGAAGCCGTGCTGCAGCTGGGGGATCGCTAGCACACGGGGTGCATGGGATCCTCTGCGGGGAGCAGCCTGCGGGCGCCGAGGGGAGGCAGCTCCTCCGCGAGCTCCCGCCTTGGCGCTCGGCCTCGCCAGGCAGAGGTGCCTCACGGGAACCTGCCTCATGGGCTCTCTCTCGCGGTGCGTTCCCAGGGATAACCACCGTGCTGACCATGTCCACCATCATCACGGGAGTGAACGCCTCCATGCCCCGCGTCTCCTACATCAAAGCCGTGGACATTTACCTGTGGGTCAGCTTCGTGTTTGTCTTCCTGTCCGTGCTGGAATACGCAGCTGTGAATTACCTGACTACCGTGCAGGAACGGAAGGAGAGGAAGCTCCGGGACAAGGTGAGGGTTTCAGTCTCCCATGATGGTTGTTGCCACTGGGAAAAAGTGTATCAAATGTCTGGGAACTACCTAAAGTTTGCAGCCACAGTATTTTGCTGTCTGGTGCTCCGGGGAAATGCAGTGCCTGCCACAAGACGCCATCAGTAGCTCTTGCTGGTTATGAAGATGAGCTGCCTGATACGCGAGCTCACTGGTGTTTCTTCACTGAGAGAGCAGCTGCGTCCCTGCACATACAGCCCTCCACTGCCTGTATAGATGGAATAAGTTTTAGTATTTTACCTGTAAATATTTTGTTATTTTGACGATACAAATGCAAACCTGTGATTTGCACCAGATGGATAGTGCATATTGTCAGATAATAAGGCAGATTTCTCTGTTTTCCCCAGGCAGTACCTAGAATTATATATAAGGGCCCAGAGTTCCCCCTTTTTGTCCCTTAGGTAAATTATATACAGAAAATTATAACCACCCCAACTCTCTGCCTCAGCTCTGTGAGCTGGGCAAGCTGAATGCATCCCATGTTGAAGCTTCCCTGTGCCCTTTTTCTGGCTTTCTCAGCTTCAAGGTCCTGGCCCAACCTTTATTTACATCCTGAAATCTGTCCTTTATCGAAATGAACTTTTTTTTCACTCTAACCAGGGACACACTAGAGCACAGCTGCTCTTTGCACAAATCTATATGTGAATGTTTGTATGTCTATGGACGTAACTCACGGCTGTGTCCGCAGCTCCCGTGCGCGTGCAGCCTCCCGCAGCCGCGGCCCATGATGATGGACGGCAGCTACAACGACGGCGACGTGGGCGAGCTGGGGCACTACGTCTCCGAGAACGGCGACAAGCAGGACAGGATGATGGTGCAGCTGGCGCTGGGCTCGGAAAGGGGCTCCGGGAGGAGGAAAAACCAGCGTTACGTCAGCATGCGCATCGACACCCATGCCATTGACAAATACTCCAGGATAATATTCCCCGGGGCTTACATCCTATTTAATTTGATATACTGGTCCATTTTTTCATAAACGTGTAAATTCTGTGTTCACAGAGCGCTGTGTCATTATATATGAAAAGTGCAGTCTAACGGTCGAACAGAAATGGGAAATGTTTTAATTTGAAGAAAAAGGGATTGCTTTCAGACTTTCTTTTTTTACTATATATCTCTCATCTGTGGCATAAATATCTCTGTGCAAGTTTCACATTTGAGCTAAATATAGGATATACAGTCTAACATTTTCTACTTAAAGCTGTGCTATGTTCCTTCGGGTGCCTCACCGGCCACTGCAATCCATTTTAACGAGTGACAGTAATTGCCAGTTGCTTAGCCGCTGCGCGCCCTGCATTTTGTGACCCTGACGTCCTCACTCCCTAGGCACTTGAGTGCACGTGAGCATTTCTGGCCTCAGCACACCTAGCACCCTGGGCCCCAGGCTACACGAGCGCACGTCTCCTCGCAGGAGGAAAGGGGCACCGGGAGCGCAGCCTGTCCCGCAGCGGGGGCTGCGCTGGCCCCGTTGTGCTGGCTGGAGCCGGTGCCGCCGTGCAGCACGGGAGCAACGTGCTTGAGGACTGAGCTCTGTCTTGAGCACACCCCAAAGCCAAGCAACCCTTCCAGCTGTTGTGACCATCCATGTCAAATCCCGTACAGCCTACGCTCACTGCGGAACCCACTCAGGCTGCAGGAGAGTCGGGTTTTCCTCAGTGATAACCAAATTACAGGAGTTCTCCTTGGATTTGCTTATGTGGGTCAGTGGGAGTTTTGCTCTTGAGCTTTTTTGGGGGAGGGAAGAGGATTTCCTGCAGGATGTTCCACTGAAGACAAACAGCTACACAACCCTCCCACCCCTCACACACCCCCCTACTGCAGAACAGGCTGCTTCTCCCTGAGACTGTCCGGGTGTCACTGGTCAGGAACAGGGAGCTGCAGCTGGTTGCAAATTCCTGCTCCTGCCAAAGTCAGTGATAACTGCACTCCCTTCCAGGAAGAGCCTGGTCCATTTTTAGTGGAAACAGAATAGAATGATGCTCAACTGGTGACAAAACAGTTGTAAGGACTTCATATCTGAGTTGTTAAAGACACTGTGCCGAAAGCTTGGAATGAAGCAAAGCCAAACCATTTGCAGGCCCAGGGACCTCTAACTAGCTCCACTTCCATGCTGCACCCCCTGCCCCAGCACCCCACTGCCCCAGGGTGGGAGCAGGGAGGCACAGTGGGAGCTGAGCGTTTACCCACCTCCCAGCTCTCCATCACATCTTCTGCAGAGCAACCAGCCAGCACGACCCTTCTGTACAGAAAAGGCAAAATCTGCAGCATAGAAGCAGCAAATGTGCATTTCAGGAGAATAAGAATCTGCTGAAGAGAGTCAAAGTTGGGTTGATCAGGGAGTCTGCCATCATACGCTCCCTGTCTATCTCCATCTGGCCAAACTATGGTGGTGGATGGCAGGATTTTAAACACCTGCACACGTTTGCACACACTTACAAAGCTCTTCCCATGCACAGGAACACGGTTGTTCCCTGCAGAGCGGGTGCTGTTGAAGTGGTGTCTCCAGAAGGCAAATGGCTCCTCTCAGAAGGCATCTGCTCTGGAGCAGCTGGTCTGCAGCTCTGTGCACTGTGCTAGACACAATGCCCAGGCATTCAGATTGCTCAAACGTTGCTGATTCTTGCTTTTAATTTCATATGTAAGTAAATCTAATATAAAAACACTCAACTTTTCTTAAAACTGCCAAAATCATGGCCTGCAAAAGCGTAGCTGCACTGCGTGCTGCCCTTGCAGCCTACAATCCAAAAGTAAGGCAAGGAAATCACAAAAGTCACGATCACTGAAGATCCATCCAGCCATAAGACAATTTTACAGCTAGTTTCTATTTTGCACATATAGACACAAACCCAGCTTTGTCTCACCGAGCTTACTTCACATCATATCGTTCTCCAGTGAGTTTTTCCAAGAGATAAAAAGAAAAAAGTACTTTCTTAAATCATGAACATTTTAATCAGCTGAAGATGAGTGGCAGAAGTGATTGAAAGGCCATCCCAGAGGCTTGGTCACCCTCCCTCAGCCCGAGTGGTGATTTACTGCACACATAGCTCCAGGATTTTGGGGAGCTGGCTTGCACAGGAGCCTGTTCAGCCTGTGTTTCCCTTTTCACAACCATAAGAAAGCATGAACAGGAGTGCCAGACTTTGCAATAGGCTGCCCAGATATTAAATATGTGATTAATGTTACTTCATATGAAGCCTAATGCTCTGTGGTTTGCTGCACCAGTACTTTACATTTCCTTATAGTTAATACTACAGACAGTCTTTGACCTCTGGCCAGTGTTTTAAGGGAGATTTTAAAGGTAAAAATGGCAGCTGGACTTCCAGGTTCCATTTTGAAAGCTTCTCTTCTGATATGTCTTCCTAAATGGACTCCCCAGGCTCCATGTTTGGATTTACAGTGTAAATTTTTGTGTTTTACTTTGGAAACTCTAGTGCCTTTTCAATCTTATGTATGGGTGTACATATATATGCATTCTATGACAAGAGAATATGTCACACGCAGCCCGTGTTTGCCCTCAAGGACTGTTATCGTGAACCGTGCTTACACACACAGTGTGGGGGATCACAGTCTCCCAGCGTGTGGTTTTGTATCGGGCATTAACATTCCAACTCCATTCCTGCAATAAATCCGAGCAATTTGTTTGTTTTGGCTCCTTTCTAGAAACACTCAAACCCCAATAAGCCTGCACGTGCCCTCTGCCTTTGAGAAAGGGTCTCCGGGAGGGTCTCAGTGAGCCCCAGACCTTTTTACGCAGGAACCGGTCGGGCCCAGGACTAGGAGTACCACGAGATTTGGCTTCTCTGCGCGTCTTCTTTGCTGCTCCTCCTTCCCCTTATTGCCCCTTGGCGCTGAAGTGATCCTTGAGCTGCCGCCTTCACTCACGGAGAGGCCCTTGCGTCGCACACCCCATGGGATGGGAGCCCTGCAGTGCCCAGGTAAGGAGCCTCAGGCAAATATTAAATCAATTACAAGGACGATTACACTAAGCCAAGTCCCTCCTGGGCTGTTTGTATGTCCCAATCCTCATTTTTTTGGTTTAGGGATGATATCATGACATAACTCTTGATATCATTAAGACCAAATTCCAGGAGGTTTATTGAAACTCGTATTTGGGACAGAATTTTTAAAGAGCAAAATTCAGTCAGAAGAATAAGAAGCCAGAAATAAAAACTGATGATCTTTATTATTATTATTATTATTTTCCCCTATTGAAAGTTTATTCTCCATCATCAGATCACTAGATATTCCTTTCTCTACATGTTTCATGCCTGAGCAAGTGATTCTCCCCATACAAAACAGCTCCAATTTCCTTGCAAGCCCTGAGGAACACAGACATCCCTGGGACTTCCTTCTCCTGCACATGCTCCTATGGCAACCTGGCGTTTGATGAAGGGCTGGGAACAAGCAGTGAGGAATGAAACACCATAACACTTAATTTAACATACCAAGTATATTTTATTTATCATATCAAGTACTTATCACACCAAGTATGCCTCAGAGCACATGGCCCTCCTCATGTCCTCCTAACTGTGTCCACGTGAAGCGGAAAACCTCAAGGAGCTGAATAACAACCTTGCTGGAACATGTGTTATTCCAGCCCTCTGGAAAGATGCTAGAAGGAGTAGGTATTTTCTGGGACAGCAGTCCAGCTACAGAGGTAGTCCATTTCTAATAAACCATCCACCTGGAAAGCTGGGTGATGCAAGGCTTTCAACTTAGTATTTCATGGGAAAACCGCAACATTGGCGTTCCTGGATAACGCGATGCAGAAAGCCCAATTGCTCCCATTTCCTCCTGAGAGGATGTCGGCTTCTCACAAACCACAGGCTTTAACTCAAACTCTAAATTTATCAAGTTATGCAAAGCATTTCAGCAGTGACTGCTTTATCATTCAAATACAAAAGATGCAAGTTTTCCTGCCCACTACCATTTATTTGGTGTAGAAAACTTACAACTTCTGGATAAAAACAATTCATAAAAATCCTTTCATAGTTCATTTCTCAATCTATAACTGCTATAGAGCTAATAAATTCACCACTATAACCACTTCCTAATAAGAATTTATGTCTCTCAAGAGATCTTTTATTTATAGATACTGCCAGAGTTTGGTAAAAAGGAGTGTTTTTTGACATTAAAAGTTAACTTGTGAATCTAGGGCAAACATTCATGTCTCAGGACTACTGTGTAGAGCTCTGCAGAAACTACAGCTTAAAGAAATGCTGTCAGTGTTTCAATGTAGAGAAGGAACCTGTGCCATGCAAAGTAAGCTCTGAAACTGCTCATAGAATTCCTTCCTTATTTTTATCTCTTATTTCTGAGGCATGAATCCCTCAGCAAAATGATTTTAAAGGGAATTTCACCTTCCACCTTGCCTCCTAGACCTAAAGCCGTAGCTTTAGACGTAGCTACAATTCTATGAATTCTAATGTGTTTTAAGAGTTACAACAGCCTTAAGATAAATGTTTTGCTTGAAAAGCATCACACTCCTGCAAAACACCAGCCTGCCTAGCAGAGAGCGCCAGCCAGTACTCAAAGTGGAATGTAGATATTGGGTGTGGATATACAAATAAATATGTTTAATATTAGCCTGAAATTAACTTGTCAGTTACATCAAATTAATAAAGTGATAACGTTGCTGTT